CTGAAAAATCAGGTCATTGGCTAATGCCCTTGCCTCCGGGAAACAGAGCAAGCACCAGTGTAGTTGTTAAGAAGGAACAAGCAGGGGAATGTTTTGTTTCACAGTGAAGAGCCTTTGCGATCCAATGGACCTGACCCGGCAATCAGACCACAGAGGTGGCTTGCTCATTCTCTGTAGAGACCCAGGGTTTAGAAAAGAACCCACAGAGAGACCGATGGGGAGAAATTAACAAAGAAAAAACACTTTCCCATTATACTAGTTTCGTAGTGGAGCCATGACAAAATACTAAAAACTAGGCATCTTAGGACAACAGAAATTCTGGAGGCTAGGACCACACTTCCCAGGAACTCTGTAGGGGAGAATCCCTGGCCTCTTCTGGCTTCTGGTGGTGGTCGGCAATCCTTGGTGTTCCTTGGCTTGTGGCTGCAACTCTCCAATCTGTCTCTGCTGTCACATGGCGTCCCCTCGTGTGCCTATGTGCCTCTCCTCTTCTTGGAAGGACACAAATGATATTGGAGTAAGGCCCACTGATCTCCAAATGTGACCTCAATTTAATTACCAACAACCCTATTTCCAAATGAGGTCACATTCTGAGAGGTTAGAGATTGGGTATAGCTTTTTTGAGACACAATTCAACCCATAACACCACGAAGTCCCAAAGCCTCATCAATGGCCAGCTGCCAAGATACACTCTTCAACCCATCAACTCTCACCTGGGACTGTCATTACTTAAATAGAAGATCTTTCCTTTTAAAATGTGGAGAACACCCCATGTATCATGAAAAATCACTGAGATTTGACCTTGTAAACATTGTTAACAATGCTATTCCTTGAAGAGGTCCCTGGAATTATTAAATCCACTTGCTTTCTGTTTTCCTTCTACTCCTCTCCCTCAGGAAGATGTTATCCGAAAGAGCAAGGAAATTTCAGTGCTCATGATGATGCCAAAAACAATAGCGTTTCATGAGACCATGAGCGCCAATGTAATAGTAATTTTTTAAAATCAAGAAGCCAGGTTTGCGTCTGCCAGCTTGTTCCCATGTCACTGGTGGACAAAGACTTTTCAAAGTGCATAGGCTTTGCATTAGCGGACCGTGGCATGATGCCATCCGGGGTTGGCAAAACCAGGAAAGGGCCAGACTTTGAAGGCTCCAAGTGTCACCAAGCCCCCCAGCACAGAGGCTTTTGAATTTCAGAGAAGCAAATGAAGATGGTGCACTGGGAGAGAAAGCCAAGGTATAGTGCTATCTGGGAAAGGGAAGTCAACAATTCGCTTATCATTGAGGATGCAAGAACATCATCAAGGACACAAGAGCACCCCAGGAAGAGCACACTCATGCACTGCAGCACCAACAGAGAGCAAACCTGTGTCCCTCTCCGGGGAAAGCCCTCACCACCCACTGAGCTCAGGATGGAGAGGGCATTTGCTAAGGTCACTGCCTCCCAGAAGGGCAGAGAGCTTCCTCACCTGGAAAGCACACTTAAAGGAGCCTCAGGCAGTTCTTGCCTCTGGGACCACTGGTGGCTACTTTCCAGCTTCTCCTCTCACTTAGAAAGATAAATTAAATGGCCACCTGATGACACCACTCTACCAAGCACAAGGGAGAAGCTGGAGAAATACTCAGAAGTGACAGCAACCTCTTTGGGAATTGACCTGGTAGATAATGTTCCCCCAGGAAACCAGACAGCGGGTCCCAGAAGCCCCCAATCACCACGCCTTGAGCTTGAGTACTTTCTGTCTTTCACCCACCCATGACCCTCTCCTGTTTTGTTTTTTAACATTGAAACACAGGAATGTCAGGTCTCAGAGCTTACCCTGCCACCAGACCCCCGCCTCCCCCAACAAAGAAAGAATGATGGCCATTGTTATGGAATCATTGTAAATGAAAAACAGACTCATCATCCCTTTCCTAACCCTCAGCGTAAACTGTGCGCACATGGAAGATAAAACCACCGTGAAGCACTATTGAAAACACCCTCTGACCTCCCAGAGAACCTGAACGCGGGCTGTCTGCGGGGCAGGGGCACCTCGGAGGTGCCAGGTGCCTGGATGGGCAAGCCTCCAGTTAACAGATGCAGTCCTAAGACATCTCTGTCACTAATGGAATTCTAGAAGCGTGCCTTCAGACAATGATGGGTTTTCCTTTGGTGCAACCAGGGGAAAAAAGGGAACATCGTCATGCCTTCTCCCAGAGGGCAGACTTTGGCGGTACACATGCCTTAAGACAAAGCCCAGTTTGTCAAACAACCAGAGTTGAACAGGACAGGGCAAAGGGGAAAAGAAAGAAGCGCCATCTCATTGACACAGGGATTGAAACAAAAATCACCCCGGCCCATGGGAAGCAGAGGTCCACCAATCCCGACGTCTTCCAAGTGCCAGGTGCCCTTCTCTCAATCAGCAAGAGGCTGTCGGCCGTTTAGGAGGGATCTTTTGGGGGGACTTGGCTGTTTGGCATGGCATCAGCTCAGGTGTTGGGAAGAAAAGCCTGTCACTATTGTGCACCGGGCCCAGGGGAGCCAGCGGCTGTCTGTGGACTTGCAGAAGGCAGGAGGAGAAAAGAGAACTGAGCATGGAGCCAGGATAAGCCCTGCTTATGACTCACTTCAGTGCTTGGTGGACTTTGGGGCGTTTCCAGAAAGGCTGTCTGCATTGCAACTCGGCGCAGCTCCTAAAAGCCAGAAGCAGGTTAAGATACAGATAACAAAATAGTCCTTTTACCTTCGGCCCTCTGCCCCCATAACTTCCTTTTAACACCCAATAACTCACGCCTTGATTGAGAAATAACTGCCAACAGAAGACCTTTTAGCTGCTCTGAAGCAAAGCAATTGTGATTTTTGACATGTCAACCAGATAAAGCGAACTAAATGAAAACGTTCAGGGCCAAGTACAGGCTGCCAAGAGCAAAGTATTAGGTTGGCAGAGTTTAAGTTACTTAACATCCAATGCCAACATTAAGTCAAGAATCGCCGGGCACTTGGTAGTTATGCATTAGGGATTATGAGACTGGAGCTGAAGCAAAGACCTTATCCACTGTGGAAAGCCCTCTGCTCCCACTTCCCTTTGAAGCCCAGCCACTCGTGCCAAACTATAAACACATCACTTCCTGGAGGACATGCCAGGCCACTTTAACTTGAAACCAAGTCCCGATGGTGTGCATCCAAGATCCTCAAGACATCCAGCAAGTCCGCAGGCCCTGCCAGACTCCACTGCTCCGGGAGCGGAGGGCAGGAGACGCAACCTCTGCTTTTCCCACAGACTAAATGGTCAGCACGCCAGGGACAGATTCGCATTCCTGCGCCCCCACAAACATGAACTTCGGTTGATTGAAAACCATCATGAAAACAACCTCCATGGCTTGCATTGGTTGAATGCCAAGTCCTCCTAAGGAATGTCTGCTCAAGGTGCGCCTACAATCGTTTCCCTTCTCAGTATACTTTGAGGTGGCAACTTGGCCATAGAGTAGTGTTTCTCAACAGGGCAGCCTTACACAAGGGACGTTATTCCCAGACTATTGTCAATAAACTGTCCCTCACACACTTCCCAACACTCCTTTCGGTGAGATGGCCGTATTCCAAGCTGAGAGCGACTGGTGAGCACAGAACCTGGGGCAGCTGAGCAGTCTTGCAGGGCAGAGAAAAATGAAACTCGCGATTTCCTTTGGCTTGCAATCTTCTTACCCAGTCCTCTGAACTAAGCCAGTCAAACCATACACAGCTCAGCCCACTGCTCCACTCATCTTAGAGACTTTACACAATCATGTCATCACCAGACTGCCACAGCTTCTATAGAGAATACTTTTTATTGTACAGATATCATATACACAATTTAACGTGTGAACATTTACAGGCATGGAGTTCAATCCCAAATCTCCATGGTACCCCATACACTGCACCGCTCACTCCTGTTTGGGATTAGCCCAGCAGGAGTGAGACACAAAATTATCCCTTTGTGAACTGAGAGCTTCAATTAAATAGAGCCCAGGATCCTAATTCGTAACACCCTGTGTACATAACAATAAAACCTAAAGATGTGTTTTAGATGACCCCATCACCTTTAAAAGTTATTAAAATGGAACCCCATTTCCCAAAAAGTCACTAAGAAGTGCACCCGTATTTACAGACACGATTAAATTATGCATAAATAAAATCTGTACATGAGACACAGTTTCTCAAAAAAAAACAGCGCCTCCTCTGGGACCTGGGGGTGACAGGCAGCAGAAAGTGCTTCATGCCTACCCTTTTCAAGTTTACTCAAATCACCAAGATGTGAAATAAATATGCAAATAAAGCTTCAGTACCTTAAAGGAACATGTCATTTCAAAGGATCTCCCATTTTCAAAGTTAAAAAAAAACAAACAACATAAAATCAGCAGGCTTTGTTTCTACGTGTTTTGTAAAATCCAAAAGCCCCTTTTGAACAAGGGGATTTTTAAGTGTGTTCAATACCACCTATTAATTCGTTGCTAAAACGGAGAGTCTGCCTCCTACTGAATGCAAGATATGATATCTGAAGATGCTAAACACTTTTTTTCTAAAGATAAACAGTTAGTGGGCAGGAAGCCAGCAATGACCTTAACACTGAGAAGTTATTATTGATTTGAATTACATGGGTTTGACATTTCAATAGCTAAGCATGTGGGGTTTTTGTTAGCCCAGGGGATGGATTTAAAAGGTTTGAAAACTTGTAGCACCACTTTCAGAGACAGAAAGAATGGGGTTCAAAATAAAACATAAGCTTAATGAATAGAGAACCAGTACTTGTCACCTTCTGATCACTTGTCCAGAGTTAAGGAGACGCTTCAGCGCCAGAGAAATACTAAGGACTCCCAGAGGGCCGGTCCAACTCCGGAGGCCAACCAAAGCCTTCCAACGGGAAGGCAAGTAAAAGCTCAACTTGTCCCCTGGGGCCGAGGAGTTTCCCCATCGGTGCCGGTGAGAGTGGTTTGGGAGATTTTTTTCTTTCCTCTTGCAGACTCTTCGTCCCTTTGATTCCACCCGTTTCATTTCCGATGCTTCTCCATCTTCTCCAAGGTCTTGCTGGAATCGGCTGGACTCTGATCTCCGGGGTTCATGTAGGACTTCTCTACGATGACCAAAGCCTCTTTTATGTAGTTCTGCACAGCAGACACGGCGGCACAGATGGCCTGGCTGCCGAACCCGTGGGTAATCAGGCTGAAGTGAGACAGGCAATTCTGAATGTTCGCCTCCAGGACCTGGGGCGGCCGGTTGTTCCCGTTGGGTGTTCGGTCTTGGTTGAGAAGGTCGGTGAATTCTTTACACACTTGCCTGTGAACAGAACACACACCTGTGAGCTCAAACTCGCTCTTGACAGGAGTTGAGGATAACACCTGGGAGGCTGGTCTGAGCCAAGGCAAGAGGCTTTAAACTAATACTAATATAATAGCCAATTGCCTCACTTAGTACCTATTAAGGGCTCGTCAACTCTTGGAAGCACTATCTTTTTAATCCTCAGTGATTAGAAGATAACAGGATTAACCCCAGGTAAATCAGTCAGCAGCCAAGGTCATCAGGTGGGATTAGGATTCCAGAGCCAGAAAGTTAAGGGACATTTGGTGCTGGGCCAGTTCAAGAAACCAATTCACCAAGAGTCACACATCTCCCTGGAATTCACTTTTTATCCCGGCTGGTTCACTGTGCTCCCTCCCTTTTGCCCATTTTCAACTGGACTCATTCTGCTTCGTTTCCCATGATTTTTAAATCAATTTACTGCTGGTTTCCATGAGAAATCCTGCAGCTGCAGTAAGTGGGTTTAGAGACATTTAAATTGCCCTCTTGTCTCCTGCAAATCCAGTCATCACTACATTTAAGAAAGAAAGACCCTTAAAAAGAGGCAGAAGGGACACAATCTTTACTGGATATGACAAAACAAACCATCTTTTCAACACAGTTTTTAAGATATGCAAATACTATCTGGAAAGGGTAGGTTAACTATTTTGAGCTAAGCAGCTCAAAAGACATTCACTACAATGCATTTGTTCATATTCCTTACTCTTTCCAGGTATCTGACTGTAAAAGAAGCTCCTTGCCATTTTCGCTTGCTCCCCATCCTAACTTATTTAATCAGCATTCCTTTCTGGAGCACCAGGGGCTGGGGCTGGCCCCTCAACTTCAAGGTCACAGCAGTAGGTCATCTGTGTACTTACTGTGCGGCCAGCAGCATGTTCTTCCTTGCTGCCATCTCATTCCGTCCTCCGAGATGAGGTCTAACTAAGTACTCGGCCACCGGTTTACTAGGAAACTCAGCTTCACAGACATACGCAAAATCCCGAGCCAAATGAACAGCCTCCCCTGGAATCATGAGAGAGGTTAGGGTGTACGGACGCTGTCCTGTTCCCCTTTTTGGCACTGTCATTCAGTCACTGCACCCTCACTGGAATCAGACAGGACCCTGGCAAGATGGATCAGCTGGCTGGAGCGTCATCTGGTACACTGCAAAGGTTTAGGGCCCGATTCCTGGTCGGGAAGTGTGCGGGAGGCAACCCATCCATGTTTTTCTTTCTCCTTTCCCCTCTCAAAAATAAAAAATAAAAATCGTAGTCAGCAGGGACATCACTCCCATTGGTGAGGCCCCCTTTCCTACAAGCAGAGGGTGAATCCTAAAGGGTGAGGAACACAGTCCCCAAAACTTCAGACTACACCTGAGCAAAGCTAACCAGTCCCGCCCAACGTGAAGAGATCGACCTTGAGACACACCCATGCCTCCTTGATAGTAAAAGTAGTTATCTTTATGGAGAAGTAGGAAAATTTAAAGAAGTGTGCATCTGCCGAGACCAGTTTGGCTCAGCGGTAGAGCGTCAGTCTGCGGACTGAAGGGTTCCGAGTTCGATTCCGGTCAAGGGCATGTACCTTGGTTGCGGGCACATCCCCAGTGGGGGGGGTGCAAGAGGCAGCTGGTCGATGACTCTCTCATCGATGTTTCTAACTCTCTATTTCTCTCCCTTCCTCTCTATACAAAATCAATAAAATATATTAAAAAAAAAAAAAAAAAAAGAAGTGTGCATCTGACAACAGCAAACTGGTTGCTTCTCTTCGTGCAACTGTTACAAAGTCTTTGACCCGGAACTTTCTTTTTAAACTAGGGCATCCCGTTACCCAAGGAGTCTCTAGAATGTTTCTTCAAGGGCCCTAACTACCAGCTTTGTCCAAGATACTGGGGAGCAGAGGGAGAGAAAACCAACAGCCACCTGTCCTGCCCCAGGCAAGCCCAGTGCGGACTGCAGACTGTGAGGCACAGTGAGGCGGTGGAGCTCTCAGAAGCCCAAACATGCCCCCTTTCCTCTGAGGACTTTCCTGAACTGGGCAGGATCTGAGAACCATTGTTCTGGCACTTTCTTATTCATGCCCCCACACTAGGCTAAGAAACTCGAGTGAGGACGCATTTATGCACCACACACAGAATCCACCACCATTTGCCATGCAGACCGCTGGTCCCCAACAGGCAGCTAACAGGCAGCTCAGCTCATCTCTCCTTACACTGACTTCAAAGACACTCCCAGAAAGGTTTAGTAGGGCCCTGCCAGCTCTCTTTAGCACTGGAGAGAAAGAAAGTGTTCAACAGATTGCCTGGCTACGAGCCCTAGCCAGTTTGCTCAATGGTTAGAGCGTCAGCCCACGGACTGAAGGGTCTGTTTCAACATATCTCGGTTGTAGGCTCCATCCCCGGCCCCAGGAGCCTGCAAGAGGCAACCAATGGGCGTGTCTCTTTCACATTGAAGTATGTCTCCCCTTCCCTTCCTATCTCTAAAAATCAATGGAAAAATTTTATTGGGTGAGGATTAACAACAAAAAAAGATGGCCTGGCTCCCAGGACACCACCCCTCATTGGCCCCTGCTGATTGGGTGAGGGGCTTGGGTGGCTGGAGGCTGCAAGATAAGCCTGCCAATGTCCCAAAAGCCACTTCCCCCTGCAAGTTTTATTTCAATTATTTCACCTTACTCATCCCCACTTTAAAGACTATATTGCAACCTTGCCACTTTCCAGGTTGGGCAGTGCAGGCCCATTCAATAAACTGAAATGCCACCTCCTGGGTTTAGGGAGAGTGACTCACCTGTGGGCCCCGACACTTTGAAACGAGCACAGGAGCCAGCCCCTTTACAAGGGCTTCTCTTTGCTGAGCACAATCCCAATATTCCACAACTACAATAACCAGAAACCATACTTCTGTGTCCACCAATAAGCAGCTAGGCTCTTTAAAACATATTTTTAATGATTTTAAATACAATTAGAGAGGAAAGGAGATGGAAACATTGATGAGAATCATTGATTGGCTGCTGCCTGCATGCCTCCCACTGGGGATTGAGCCCACAACCTAGGCATGTGCCCTGACTGGGAATGGAACTGGGACCTCCTGGTTCATAGGTCCACTCTCAGCCACTGAACACCACCAGCTGGGCACAGGTAAGCTTTATAAAGGTACTAGAGGCCCAATGCTCAAAATTCATGCAGGGGGCTTGGCCCTCCCAGCCCCAGCGGCTGCCTCAGCCCTCGCTGCCCTGGCTTGGTCCAGAAGGTCGTCCAGTTGTAGAGTCTAATTAGCATATTATGCTTTTATTATTATAGATAGCAACTGATCCACTGCATCTTCAAAAACTGGATCATTTAACAGACAATCCTATAGTTTGATTTCTTAGGTTAGGAAAACTCATATCTTTTTTGAACTGATCTCTTGGAGAACCCAGAACAGAATATTTAGCAGGCAGGTATTTGACAAAAAACACTGTGATTCATTGTGATGAACTTATGACCATTCAAATAACCTTCATCTCGCTCTACTCATGGCCAAGTTAAGAGCTGTTTTTAAACTTTCCTTAGAGAAATAGCAAAGGCACAACACAGCAAAGGGAAAACACCAGAAAACGCCACTGACCTTCTACCAAAGACGTCAGGAGGGTGACGTGTGCAGCCTTCCGTCTGCCGGCTGGAAGATTCAGCCCGATCTTGTCCAACCTCTCCCGCAAGGACCGGCCTCCATTTTTAGACTTGGCTCTGCATACGAGAGAGTCGACTGTGACTATTCTCAAGAAACCACATTTTAAAACTCTAAATTCCTAGACTGCCATCAAAACTAAAATTCTTTAAAAAAAAAAAAAAAAAAAAAAAAAAAAAAGACTGGATCATAATCAAATGGCGTTTCACAGGGTGTTCTCATTAATTAATCCCTGTAAATGCAAAAACTGTTCTTAGCATGGCCAGCATTTTCTTTCTTTCTTTCTTTCTTTTTTTAAATCACAGAGTATTGCAAGCTGTACTGGAGCTGATAATTTTCACTAGTAAAAACCACAGCAGCTCCCCAAAACCCCTGGAGCTTCTCTTCTCTTAATTTGGAGGCCACCTCTTCAGGCACGGAATAAATTCTAACCAAATGATAATCGTTAGCGCTGTTTTAGCACCTCCTCCTACATTTGGCACTTTCTAAAAGCAAAAGGTACTAAAACTCTGAGCTGATTGGAATTCAGTGTTAGGTCTCAAAGTTACATAAATGTTAAAAATACCTCCCAGTGCTTTCCTATAGCCACCCTCAGCCCCCCAGCCACCCTCAGCCCCCCAGCCACCAGGTGCAGAGTGTGCCCCATATACCTTCTGAGAACGCCTCCCAGTAAGGAGGCATTCAAGCACTCAGGCGGGGACAGTCGCCTCTGGACTTCGGCCACTGTCACTTTGTATTTCGACGTGGAGCTCAGGAGGGACAATCTTCCGGGGACAGAGCAGAAGACCTCAGTGGGGTTCACCACACCCCCCACCAGCTCCTTCGGACAGGGGAGACTCAAGGGGTTCTTGGTCATTGAAATGGGACCTGTGAATGAGGATCAGAAGTGCAGTCTTCAGAGCTGCATCGAAGCAAAAGATACCTTTTCGAACCACTAACCAATGCTGAATGCCGAGAGAGCTCTTTAAACAAACAGCATTGCTATATAGGGCTATAAAATTGCAGGTTTTTCTTAAAGCCTTGATCTTCAAAAATAATCAAATCTGAAATTCAACAGTTAGCTCCATGGGAAGTTAATTAGTCAAGATCCCAAGCGTGGAGAGATTTTTAATCGATAGTCACTTTTGAAAAACCTGCTTTATTAGGACATTTGCTTTCAAGAGACTGCTTTGATACTAAATAAATGGCACTATTTTTTCTTTCTCAAGAAACAACCAAAATCATAGGACAAACTCAGATCCTTTGCCAAAACCTTTAGTGCAACAGCAAGTTTTTAAATACAAACAAACCTGTTCTGTTATAAATTTACTGGGAAATTCGATGTATCTTCTGAGTGATTAAAAAACAACAACAAAAAACATTTCCCCCATCTGATTTCAAGCAGTTTAACTTCAAATAACAGACCGTAACTACCTTTCATTTATTTAGGCCCCTCCACTCCCTAAAACAGCCAGCTGGTAATCCTATCAAGCACGTTACTTAATTCTGAGAGCCACTCACTTACCAAATACAATAATCCAATTTTCCAAATCCCACCACCCTTATCCTGCAGAAACCCAACCTCCGCCAGATTCCCCCCCCCCCCCCCCCCCCCCGTGCTTTTAGGGCTGTCTATTTGGTAGGCCAGACTGTTTCAAAATGCCTTCTTACAGGTCAGGATTAAGGATCCTTGCCATATGCATATTTGAAATCGACAGTAAAAACCACATCGACTCATTTGACAATTAAAATTGTCACAACCAACCACACAACTAAGGCCCTGCTGTTTTTGTTTGTTTTCAAATTAAATCTCACCCTGGAGACTCTCTCAAACAAACGTGGTAAAAACACCCTGGAACTGAAGGAGTAACATATACCGGATTTCATTTAGGTGAGAAAGAAATCCCCTTTCTTCTCACTCTAAGACCTGCCTTCCCAGAGTTCTGGTCCCTTCCACCACAAATGCCCCCACCTTGCCATTAAGTTAATCCAACACCGGTAAGAGTCAGCCCACAAGGCCCTGTGTGGCCCTACCTTTTCGGATCACAGTCTGATCGTGCAGAAGCAGGTGCTGCTCATCCACAATCTGGGGGAGAAAGGAAAAAGTTTCCTTTTTAAGTTCCGGGGTGCCTCGTTCAGCAGGGAGCTGGGATAGAGTCGGGGCAGGAGGGGGCAAGACCCCAACCGCGCTCACCTGCACCTCGTCCATCTGCTGCCCCATGTCGTGAAGTCCCAGGTTCTCCGCCAGCCCCGCTGCGTCCAGGGCGTGCGCGTGGGGCAACAGCAGGTCCGAGCGGCGGAAGCCGTCCCTGCGGGCGCTCATGGCGCCCCCGTCCAGCCCGGCGAGGTGGGGAAGCAGGCCGGCCGGGCGCCCGTGGTGCGAGGGCAGGCCAGCCGCCTCCTGGCTCTGGCGGCCCGGCCAGGCCTGCGGCTGGCTGCCTGCGGGCGCCGGCTGGTGCAGAGGGTTGATGGCGGCGTACGCCTCTCCCAGATGCGAGTAGGGGTCCGCGGACTGGGAATACGCCAGCGGCTGGTAGGGAGGTGGGAAGTAGGGCGGTGGCTGGAATTCGGCGACTCCGGTGTGGGAGAGGGGCGGCGCGGGGTTGTAGAGATGCTGCCCGGCCGAGGAGAGGTGGGGGAGGCGCGGGTTCCCATTACTGCTCCCGTCCTGGCGATCCTGGAAGAAGAAACCGAGGCCCGGTTAGTGCGAAACCCAGCTACCGCGAACCGCCGCCGCCGCCGCCGCGCTGAGCCGGGCACTCCCCGGGCCCAACCCCCCAGCCAGCCCGGATCCAGCCCGCGGGCCTGCCCTGGGGACGGAGGGCCCCCAGCAGCAATGCGCCCCGGGGATGTCCTCGTGAACTGCGAATCTGCGTGGAAAGGAAACGGGCGAGAGACCTGGGGAGGCGCGCCCTCGAAGCCCGGCGGCGGAGCTCCGGGCGCCCGGACGCCCGAGGCCCTCCAGAGCGCCGGGTCGGAGCCCCAGGCCGCGGAGGCGGCGGGCCCGCGGCGCCCCCGGTGCAGCGCGCTCTCGCTCACCAGCCCGCACATGTCCGCGGCGCCCGGAGAAAGAGCGCGGGGCGGCGGCGGGCGCGGATAAGGCGCGCCGCGCGGGAAGTGCGCATCTCCCCGCCCCGGGGGATCCCTTTTCCACGCCCTCAGGACACAGCCCTCCGGGGAGACACGCCCTGGCGGGGCCGCCACCCGAGCCGCGGAGCGACTCCGGGAGGAATGCGATCGAGGAGAACTCCGCAACCGGAGCTGCCCTCCCTGCTCGCGTGTCCCGACTCAGTGCGGATAGGAAGCGAGGCGCCCAACCTGCCCGGCCACGGTCCGCGTCCCCACAAACCAAGGCACAGAGCGAACATTAAGAACCCCGGAATTGGGCAACTTTGCGTGCTCACGTCCCCTTGCCCCACGGGGGATGTCCGACTTAATTCCTAAAAGGATGTGTCTCCTACTACTACGGGGGGGTCACGGGGTCGTGAGGGTCCGGGAGAAACATGGCACTGTCGCCCCCTAGTGGAGGAGTCCGGAGGCGCTGGACAGGGGCGGCCCCTCCAGGTGCGGAGGCCGCGGTGGGCTCCCGGGGGCCCAGGCCCGGCTCCGCTCTCTCCCGGCGCCCGGGCTCCGGCCTCCCACCACCTGCGCCGTCTTCCTCTTCCCGCTCGCCGCCTCCCGCCCTCCCACTCTCCGAAACTCCAGCTCAACCTGTCCGACAGGCTGGAGCACTCGCGGCGCTTACGGCCCCATCTGGCCTCGGCACCACCCCCCTCGACACTCCCCAGCCCCCACGTCTCCCGAACACCAAACTTGTGTTTTCTCCTCTCCCCGAGAAGCTAGCGGGGCCGGTGAAAGCCGAACAGGGAGGGGACTCTCCAAAGGGCAGGTCGGACTCCCATGTGGACGGAGATTTCGTGCGTAAAAGCCGCGTCTAAGCAAGGGTTGTGGACCAGCGCTCTTCCGAGAAAACGGGAAGAAGGCTGGTTTTGCTTCGCTGGAAACCGACCGGTAAGCTTTGTGGGTGGTATGTGCCATTCTCTCTCCAGGCCCTGCTCCGGAGGCTAGATCTTTAGGGAAAGGCCCGATTCGGGAAGGGGGTCCCCGGAGAAACGTGTCCGGGAAAGTGGACCCCGTCCGACCGCGGGGCGGCGGCGGGTGCCTGCTGGCTGCTCTGCACCCTCGCCCCCAGCCTCGGCCCAGCGGCCCCCGCCTCCCGGCCGTCCCGGGGCGGGGCCAGGCTGCACCGCGCCCGGCTCACCTCGCAGTCCTCTTCATACTTGACATTATCGGTTATTTTCCACAACATGGCGTCTTGCGTCCCCCAAAACAGCCGCCAGTTAAATCCAGGTTCCCCCCACCCCCCCAGCGGTAAATCCAAAATCGGGGTCACGGTGGCCGAGCGCCTGCCGCCGCCGCCCCCGCCGCGGGCCTCGCAGAACGGGTCACTGGATGCGCATCGGCGACTCCGGAGCGCAGAGGTGGCCGCCGCCGGCGATCAGGCCTGCGAGGGACCCGGGAAGCCGCGCCCGCGCCGTGTCCCGGCTATAGCCGGGGGACCCGAGCGCCTTAATGAGAAGGACATTATCATAGCTCCTCCCCGGGGGCCGGCGCCGCGGCCCGGGCTGCGGGCGGGGCGGCCCCCAGCCAGTCCCAGCCTGGCTCCGCCCCGCACCCCAGCCCGGAGCCGGAGGAGACCCGAGGTGCGGGTACCGGAGAGGAGCGCCGGCGCTTCCAGGAGCCTCAGCCCCGCGGAGCCTGGGCCCCCGTCGCGCCTTCCATCCCACCGCGCACACGCGGTGCTGGGGACCCGAATCCCAACTCCCAAAAACCCCCCTTTCGCCCTAGACGCATCTTCCAAAAGATGTCACACCGAGTTAAGACCCCCACGGTTCAGGGCGTCTCAACCGCTGGGGGGTCCCCTTATTTCTCAAAATGTTGCGCGAGCGCGCGCGCGCGCGCGCGCACACACACACACACACACCGCCACCGGCTCCACGTGGAGTTCAAGGTTAGGCTGGGATCGTACGGTGGAACCCCAGCCGCCCAGAGAGGTTTTCCCCCCAACCCCCCGCCCGGCTCCGAGAGCACAGCGCCGTCCGGCGATGCGGGAGGAAGGCCTTCAGGGGAGTCTGCCCCGAGCGCCTCGGGGATCCGCCCGCCCCAAGTTTAGGACAACCGTCTCGCCGCCATAGCCCAGAGCTGCATCTGCGGCCGGCGGTGCGGGGGGCGGGGGCACGCGCGCCCTCGCCCAGCCTCGCCCAGCCGCCCTGCCCCGGCTCCGCAGCTGCCTCCCACGGACCAGGCACTCCGAAACCTCGACTCAGCGGAGAACAGAGGTTGGGGCGGAACCAAACCCCAGCAACAGGGGAGGGCGGGGGGGGGGGAGGGGAGAGAAGAGGGGAAGGAAAGGGGAGAGGGGAAGGAAGAGGACGGAGAGAGACTAGGGCTGGAGAGGTGAGCGCCTCAGTTCCGCAGATTTTGGCAGAAAACGAAACTTCCACAACAACGCGGCTACTCCACCCAGAATGTATTTGCCACCCAAGCTTGAAAGCGACCGGCAATATTTTTAAAATTTTAAAGAAACGAAATCCATTGGCACAATTATTATAATTGGCCTTCTCCACCGCGGAAGGTAAAGTCGGTAATTCTCAAGGGCGAACTTTGTCGGGACGTCCCAGCTGGGTCCGGGAGCTAACTATCCTGAGGATTCAGAGAAGACTATTAGGATTTGATTCCGAATCGGATTTCCCAATAACCCTGTAGACCATCGTCAGGGCCTGGAGTGGACGCGGCTCCCTATCCACAGAGGGTTGCATCCGCAGCCTTTTTGAGCTCTTAGCATTTATTAAAACCCAGATGGGCCTGAAATAACGAAAATAAAAACAGGCGTCCTCCAGGTGAAGCTTCCCCCTCGCCTTACAAGTAGGCATGTTTTCGGGGCTTTGCACTGAGTGCAAATGAGAGTGCACAGACGACCCCTGACACCTGCTTCCAAAACACCGGGACCTGGGTGGGGGTCAGAGGAAAATCCGCAGAAGCAGCGCTATGGGTAGTGGGGGGTGGGGGAAAGACAGGAGTCGCACCCTGGCGCGGCAAGCACGGTGGCCTCTGGGGTGTGGAAGGTTGGGGTCCCAGGCAGTCCCAACAAGGAGGGAACCCTCCTACGTCCAGCTCATTGGCGAGGAGGCTCTCCACTCTGGGCCTTCTAGCCCTGGGCTTAGCTCTGAGTCCGGGCTGGGGTCAGTCTGCGCCCGCAATTGGATTCCCGGGCAGGACGGGCCGGGGCTGGGCAGACAAGTGCCGCCACCACTACCACCACCACCACCACCACCCCCACCCCCACCTCAGACCCGGACTGTCTTTCCTTCGCGCCGAAGCGCCCTCCAAAGCCCCCCGGAGGAACTGAGATTCCTCCCAGCTCGCGGCCGTCTGCGGCGGAGGCAAAGGGAGACCCTGAGGGGCTGAGCGCCTCCGTTCGGAAGCCCTCGGGGCCGGAGTTTCAGAGCCGCTCCGCAGAGGCCGTTCATTCCCGAGGCAACTTCCTAGACCCCGGAGCTGCCGAGTCTCCCAGGAGCAGACACTCCAGGCAGACGGGGACTCCGCGCCTTGGGTGTGGAAGGCGGCTCGAACCACCCTCCATTTCCGGGCCGGGGAGACCCTGCCCCAAGGCGCACACACTTGGCTCCGGGGCCGGCACCTAGGCAAGCGCCCCGGTTAGGGTGCCGGGGGCCCAGCCCTTCCTGGAGCTCAGCTCTTCTCTGAGCGGCGAGCGAGGAACGGGGGGAGGGGAGGGGAGGGCTCCCGCACCCGGGACAGACTGCCCCCCAGGGCCCCGGCCCTTCGCCGCCCGAAGATCCGAGAATGTGTGGTTTCGCCCTTGGGTAGCCACCGCCAGGGGAAGGGGGTTGGTTCCTCCCCTTTCCCCGGGCGGTGGCTACTGCCCCGAACTGTGCACAAAATGTGGGGGTCTGCGGGGCAAGCCTCGCTGGCCGCCTCGCAGGATCAGAGGTATTGGCGTGGTGGGCTGTCGGCGGCTCCCCTCTATCGCCCTCTAGGGAGCCAGCACTCACGCGCGAGAAGCCTTGGACCCAGGCTCCCAGCCATCGGATGGCCCAAGAAACCCCAAACAGGGGTGTCTGCTAGGACAATAACGCCCCTACTGTGCACCCCCCACAACCCCTCCTACGAGGCCAGGGCGGGTGCCTCTGGAAACAGGGCCCAGGACCCCAGGCTGGATCCTAGCCAAACACAGCGCAAACCAGGGCAGGCGGAGGGGCGGGTGGGGCTGGACGGAGGCCAGCCTGTGACTCCTCTACCTCCCGGGGGAAGGGGGGACCTGAGCGGCAGGTGGAGGCCTCGGAGCCAGCGAGTGTCAGTCCCGCCCCTCGGGACAGCGTGACCTGGGCTGGGACCGGCAGCCGGGGAAGGGGCGCCCATTCATTCGTGCTCCCTCCCCTCTAGGGCACTCACTGGACAGACCGTTGTTGGAGAGCCCTCGAACTGTCTAAAGCCATGAACACGCACCCTGCGGTGCATCCATTCACGGCGATAATAGAAAAGTAGTATTCTGTTCTAATGTGCAAAGCGCGACTGCACACGGTAGATGCTTCTCACCTTCGCCCAAGTCCAACCTTATTCCGTTTACTGCTCACTTCTAAGTACCGCTTACCAAACTGTGCTCCAAGGACCTCGCAGCCTTTACTTTACCTCTTCCGCAAACATCTGCTTTTCCCAAATGGCAAAAGCTGGGGTGGAGCTGAGAGGCCTAGGGCAGTGGCCGGCAAACTCATTAGTCCACAGAGCCAAATTATCAACAGTACAGCGATTGAAATTTCTTGTGAGAGCCACATTTTTTTTTTTAACTTAAACGTCTTCTAACCGCCACTTCTTCAAAGTAGACTCGCCCAGGCCGTGGTAATTTGTGGAAGAGCCACACTCAAGGGGCCAATGAGCCGCATGTGGCTCCCCAGCCGTGGTTTGCCGACCACAGGCCTATGGGATCCAACCTTCTGAGGAGGAACCTGGTCCATCTCCGTCCCAGGTCGAGCCTGGGCACGAAGGGGCAGAGTGCTTGCCAAGCGCAGAGATGGTGGGTAGAGTCCCTAACTTGACAACCATCGCCCCATTTCTCAGCTGGCGGAGGTGTGTTTTCAGTTGTCCAACCACCTCAAAGCCAGAAACGTGCCTGCTATTCAAGGGGGGCCACCTCCCAGGTGGCTCTCGGGATCTGTTAGAGACAAGGCTGGCTCTTGCTTCCCCTGCCCCGGTGACCCCCGTCCTCCAGAGGCCTGGCTCGGCTGCAGAGCACCTGTCACCTCTCCATTGAGGTCCCCGGGCCCATCCCGGTGGAATCTAACCGCTCGGGGCGCAGTGTTCCCAGGGCCTGGGCTCGCTGTGCTCGAACACCAGACACCTCCAGGACAGCCAAGCCCGGCGGCCTGGATGCATTTATCTGGTCGCCGCCAGGCGAGGAAGAGGCCCACTGCGGCCAGGCGCTGGGAGGCGCTAACTCGGCTTCCAGGGCCGGAACTGTGCGGCGCCCAGCAGCCACCCTGCACCCCCTCCTTCCCTCCCCGCCGGCGCCCGACTCGCCCTGCCGGCAGCTTCGCTCCGGGCGGCCTGGCCCCCCGCGGGCCGCTCCTCCCGGCGGGCCCCTGTCTTCTCACCCCTCGGAACTGGAAATTCATGCCGCCCGCTCTTCAACCCTCAGCGAGTTGAGGACTTTAAAAATGGAAGTCACGAAGATAGAGCTTCCCAAGGGCCGAGTCCTGTGCCGTAAAGCGCTCAGAGCGTTTATTTAATTAACGGAAGGGGGAGGGGAGCCATTCACAGGCAGAACGGGCTATCGCGATTGGAGGACACACCTGAAAGGTCCTGTTACTCCTCCCCTGCCCTCCTCCCCCCTAGTTCTATAAAGTCTCCAAAGGAGAAGGGTCGTCACTTACGGGCGCATAAGACCGCCTACTAAGGTTCCTTCATCACGAAATTACTGTAAATGTAGCCTGCCTCTTGCTGCCAAAGGACACGTTACATTTGTTTTGTCTCTAAAGCCAGGCCCATTGCCATGTCTAGCTTTGATCTCACTTCAGGCCCGTCCTAGGTTTCCAGGTAGAATTGAGCGAGGAGCACTGAGATCCCTGCGGGTGCGGGAAGGGAGTGAGTGGATATGGGGTCTTAATTGACGGAGATTTCTTTGCACCTTGATTATCCATGCTACTTGCCTTCAGAAAAGAGGTTTAGGGCCTTGGGTACAAAATTTAAAATAAAAAGACAGCCAAGAGTAAAATCTTGAAAACTTCTTGAAGA